GGGCAGGGGTCCGATGGTGTGGTACCAGCGCTTCGAGTACGCCATCGGCCACTGGCTGCAGAAGGCCACGGAGCACGTGATTGGCTGTGTGCTGTGCAGTCCTGGCTGCTTCAGCCTATTCCGGGCGAGTGCTCTCATGGAGAACAGCGTGATGAAGCGCTACACGATGGTCACATCGGAGCCCATGAAGATGGTGCAGTACGATCAGGGGGAGGACCGCTGGCTCTGCACGCTCCTGCTGAAGGCCGGCTCCCGGGTCGAGTACTGCGCCGCCTCCGATGCCTACACCCACTCCCCGGAGGGCTTCAACGAGTTCTACAACCAGCGGCGTCGCTGGGTGCCTTCCACGATAGCCAACATCTTCGACATCCTGGCCGACGCGGACACAGTGGTCAAGAAGAACAACTCGATATCCACGATGTACGTGTGGTACCAGGGCATGCTCATGATTGGCACTGTCCTTGGGCCCGGCACAATCTTCCTGATGATGGTGGGTGCTCTGGTGGCAGTCTTTACCATCAACATTTGGACCGCCTTCCTGTGGAACTTCTTTCCCATCCTGTTCTTTATTCTTTCGTGCGTGTACCTGAAGCAGAAGTTCCAGCTGCTGATTGCCTTCGTGATCAGTGCGATCTACTGCCTGGTCATGATGGCCGTCCTGATTGGAATCATCGTCCAGATGATGGAGGATGGGCCTTTGGCTCCTGCTTCGCTCTTCTTCCTCCTGGTGGCAGTGCAGATCACAATTGCAGGTACGAGTATGGCACGATTGACAAAATACTTAAAGACAGCGTTTACATCTGTACTTATTCCCATCTATTTAAGGGTTAATGCATCCCCAGGAGTTCTGGGCGCTGCTCTGCGGCGTCATATATTACATCACAATACCTTCAATGTACATGCTGCTCATGATTTTCTCGGTCTTCAACATGAACGATGTCTCTTGGGGCACTCGAGAGGCACCTGTACTCAAGGACGATGACAAGGACTCGCCCGGTGATCAAGAGCCCCATTTGCCGGGCTGGCTGAACGATCCTCTGCTGATTAACTCGGAGCTCGGGGAAATATCTCTCATGGAGCAGAGATTCTGGAAGGATGTGATCAAGCAATACCTAAAGCCCCTGGAGCTGAGCCGAGAGCAGAAGCAGTCCATGGCCGACGGCCTGCGAGAGCTGAGGAACATGATCGCCTTTGCCTTCGTGATGGTGAACGCCATCTTCGTGCTGATCGTGTTCCTGCTGCAGCTGAAGAAGGAGTTCCTTCACTTAAAGTGGCCCATCGACCCCACGGACTTTGTGTCCTTCGACCGGGACAACCTACAGGTTGGCATCTACCGCCAGTACAAGGAGCTGGACCCCATTGGCCTCTGCTTCGTGATATTCTTTGGCCTGATTCTGATCATCCAGTTTATCGCCATGTTCTTCCACCGCTTTGCCACCATGTCCCAGCTGCTGGCCACCACTCAAGTGGACTGGTTTCGTTCCGGGGGGCAGTTCACGGACGCGGATGCCGCCCTGGAGCTGAAGGGGAGTGCTGTCAATATAGCCAGGCGCCTGCAGCGGCCCAAGCGGTTGTTCGACGATGATGAGGACGAGCATCACTATGACGAGCTCCTGATCGACAACGATGGGGAGCACAGGGAGAGCATGGTGCGACGCCAGACTATCTTCCGGCTGCACGAGACCCGCAACAAGCAGCAGAGCGACTACAGCAATCTGGTGTTCAACTTTGAGCGTCGCTTCTTCGGAGAAGACGACCTGAACCTCAAGAACCTAGCTCTCAATCGGAAATCCGTGAAGCTTCTCCAAGAGCGTCGTTCCGCGGCCAAGTTCAATGCAGCTGCCACGCCGGGGGGCACACCAACCCCCAAGACGGGCACACGCCCCCCGCTCATGGCCAAGAAGGTGAGCTTCAGTAACCGGAATAGCATGCAGCTTTACGATAATGGCGGCTACGAGCAAACCGAGTTCTAGATTGGAACATACTGCACACAAGTATTACCCAGAGAATCTTCCAACTGTACTATTTACTATCTACTATATACAACACATGTATCTTTATCCTACATATACTAACTATATCTCTATGTACTTCATGTCCCTTAACGTCTTGGTGGCATAAAAATATAATTAATTGCATTTAACTCGAGTGGCAAAAGCAGCCAAGTTCACATCCTCTTCCCCCTTGTACTTAGAGAGCTGAAGACGTCTCATTAGCATAATTACCAGATGCACCATAGTGGGTGGAGTGGGTTGGAGTGGGGTGGGGTGGAGAGGGGGTGCCCTTCATTCATCAATGTCGGAGCCAACGCTTAGAGCTAAGTGCTCCTCGTGGTGGCGATGCGATGCGATGCGCTTTTTGCTCGTGGCAAAGTCCGCTCCGCTCCGTTTCGTTACAAAATGCAAATCAAAGTGTGATTAGCTCGGATTTGATGAAGTTTCTGCAGCAATGCACAAGTTTTCCTTTTCCCGTTTCCCCGTTTCCCACTTTCCTTCAACTTCCTTCCACCCTAACGGTGTGGTGTGGTGTGGGCGTGTGTGCCGGGGCGTGGGCGTGGGAGTGGGCGTGGCAAGGTGTCGGCGTAAGTGTTTTGTAAGTGAATTTTTCAGTGCCTCGGCAAAAAGAAAACCAGTTGACAGGCGGGGAGCGGACCCTTCCAAGGACTGCAAGGACAGGCAGGACTTACTTTGGAAATGCGCATATATTAAAAGAAGGAGAGGCAAGGAGGAGGAAGCAGGAGCTGCAAGAAGGACGAACTTATGGCCGCAGGATGTGGATTGTCTTTGGTTTCCCCAAGTGCTTTAGCTGAAGCTTGAAAGGGGTGGCTAGACGAGGCGGAGTAGTGGCCATCATGTAAGAACAGGGCTAACTAATGAATTCAGCTGGTCAAATGGGAGGGCACGGCACCCAGTGAATATCGATTAGACAGTAGAAGAGTTATGGAAATGGACAACTTTGTTGGCTTATCCTTTCTCTCTGGCCATAAAGAAGAGTGGTCCCGGTATCAATTAATTGGGAAACTCTTTGACGATGCCCAGCCCAAAGCTCATTCAGGCAGATGAAACAATAACCAACAAAAACCAGCCATTTGCATGCCATGGCCAAAAGTGCAAACAATTTCAGACTTGAATGCGTTTTTCCCCTTTGTGCTGCGCGAGGGAAAAACCACAGTCCGGAATTCAGAATCCGCACAAGAACTGCAAGGCATTAGCAAATTTATGACAATTTTCAATTGCCAGCCAGCCAGCCAGCCAGCCAGCTAGCGGGCAACCAGCCTTAGCCGAAGGGAAGAAGCTCTGAAGAAACCGAAAACTTTGACAACTATTTTTGCCGCTGGCCTACTTGGCGTATGCGTAATGTAGCTTCTTCTGCTTGTTCGTTCGCTGCTCTGCTGCTGCACAAGTTGTGGCCACGAGGCATATAAATTTCGCATTCATAGAGTGCCACTGCTCGGGCCGACCTGGCCGTAAAGCGAAACAAAGCGCCACGGAAACTGGAAAGCCCGACCCATAAACAACAGCAAAATTCGATTGAAAAACTTGTGCCAGTTTCAGTTGCAGCTTTCAAAGGGGGCGACGGAGAGACGGGGAGAGAGGCTGAGAGGGCATAGCCGGAGCCGGAGCCGGAGCCAATGCCTGGGAACATAATTTTGCACTTATCTGACCCCGGGCAGACCACCCAGCTGCAGTGGAAGTCCCGGCCCAGCACCACCTTCCCGGGGGCCTTTTGCCATTTGCTTTTGTATTTTATGGCTTTTCTATGCATTGCAATTGCAATCGAGGACAATACACACGACACGACAGGACAGAACAGGACAGGACAGGATGAGCACAGTAAAAAGGAGAAGAGTGGAGAAGAGAAGGGAAGAGAGGGGAAGGGATGGGTGCAACTATGATCGGGCCACCACTGAGCTGCAACAAAGCGGCAACAAAAGTTTTTAATGTCATTTAATTATGAAAATAGTTCCGTGTCCGGGTGTCAGTTGCGTCCTGGTCTGGCCTGCCAGCAGCAGTTTTTTGTCACGGCCAGAAATTATGTCATTAGGGTAGAAACATTTCCGTGCTGTAAAGCTTACTCTTTGCAGGGCAGGGCAGGGCATCTGTTAGTCGATGCTCTGACTCAGTTGGAGGAGCTGCTGGTTGCTTTGTGAAAATAATTAAATGAAAGGCTGCAGGACATTTGAGCACAATATGCACTGATTATGCGCCCTGTCCCTGTCCCAGTCCCTGTCCCCGTCGCTGTCCCGCATCCACCGCCTGTCACTAGCCTCGTAGTTCCCCTTCCCGGGAACTGCTCATTCAAATAAACAAGTTCGTGTTTCAGCAGTTAATTAATATTTCCCATGCTGTCTGGTATTTATAATGATTTTTCGTCAGCTGCTGCAATTATAGTTGAGTGGCAGGTGATTTCCATGACAATGTTTGATGTGCAATTCAGTGTTCAACAATGCCAAATGAAGCGTCAAGTGATTATCTAGTTGAGGAGAGCCCTGGGAGCGCTGATACAAAAAATCGTCCTACTTCCAATTAAAAATTGATTTTCGCTGCCATCCAGCGATGCAAACACTGAACATTCAGATATGAGCTTCTTCGCGCCACTGCCCCACTTGATAAGGCCCCAGTTCTCTCCCCCCTCCGATTTTGGCATGGTCAAACGATTCACATTATCTTTGTGGAATACCGACGGAGAGACAAGGAGACAGAGAAAGAGAGAGAGAGAGGGAGTGAGCTTCTCTGATTGATAACACTTTAAGAGAGAGAGAAAGAGAGAGCGAGATGCGGAGAGCGGGAATCCATAGGAGATACGAGGGTAGGAGAGCCGGAGTGGGAGTGGAAGTGAGGGCGAGCTGTTGTATAATCGCAATCGCAATGAACACTTACAATTACACATGTTTGCGGCCTACTATCAGGAGCGGGCGACAGGCCACAAGCGACAAGCCAGTAGCAACGCCAGCAGCAGTCCGGCAGTACAATTTCGACTAGCCTCCATTCAGTAGAACTTGTCCGGCTTTGCGGTGCGGTTCCGTTCGAGCGCGTTTCGTCTTGTTTCAATCTGTGATATACCCAACATAGTCCCCACTGACTATATCCTGCAGAATCCCATCCCAGAGGTCTCACTTCACTGCCAAAAATGCTGCGCAACAGCTTCAGTGTGGCACATGCCCTGCGCAACAGCTTCTCCAGCAATGTCTGGCGTGCCGCCAGCTCCCATGGACCCCGGCAGCCAGTGAGTCTGATTTATATAACCGAAAAGATCTACGACTGAAACCGAGTTTAAAAGTTACCGATAATGCAAAGTCCGTCTTAGAACTTATTATATTTTCTATATTTTTTTTAAATTTATTTATGAGTGCAAATGAACCTTTGACTGCTGATCCACACTCGCGGCTTTATCAGTGCTTTGTGTTCGGATGAAGCGGTTCAAACCTGTGGGAACCCAGTGATATATGTACCCTTGTCTGGGTGATCTGCTTATAGAGATTACCACACCCGTAGTGCACATAGCCGGCAGACTTCGGCTCTAAGTCTCTTGGACTTTGCCAGCGACAAAGAACATCGCCAGGGCGGGGCACGAACCTGTGCAGTATCTGCGAGTACGAGTGTATATGAATATGAATGTATTCAATTTTACTCGCACATATACACGTTTTTTTTTACGAGTATTAAGAAATCGCCAGCTTGTTGACCGATAAGCAGTGATTAAAGTTGATTCCAATGGGGGGGAAAATTACAGCGGCAGTCCCGAGGCATGAAGTCTGGGCGTGAACCTCTTGTTTGGGTCCGGTCCGGGGTCTCGGTCTCCTATGCCTTTACCCCCAAGGAGAGTCCCAGTCGGAGTGGGGCCCCTTTCCTGTCTAGTGCTTTGTTTTGATTACGTAAGCTACTTATTAGCAGCTGCTGCTAAGGGGGGAGTACTCGTGCCGCTTTCGTTAGTTCCATTGGAAAATTTTGCCCTCGCACTTAAATCTAATCAGAGGCGAATCAAAACAACAAACCCCCAGCCCATTGGTACATATAAAGAGTTCTCTTTATGGTCTTTACGACCGACCAACAACAGCTTGAAAGGGTTCTCTCGTTGTCGGGGCTAACCCAAGCCATAAACTGGGCCAAAATGGGCCATCAAAAATCGGAGCCGGAGCTAATTGAATGGCCATCGATCGGGGACGGGGTCGGTGTCGGTGTGGGGGTCGGTATCGGGGTCGGGTTCTGAGCTATGGGCTGTAAATCATTTACAGTTTCGGTTTGATTTTCCAAAACATGCAAAACAGGCATCGTCGCCACAGGAAAGGAGAGCAGCGAAGAGCAGAGGAGAGGAGACGCAAGAAGGGGGTAAAGATTGTCCCGACAAGCTGATAAAATGTTGTCACAGCATGACAGCTGCCTGACCAGATTCGGACTTGGATTCGGATGGGTTCAGGGGTCAGGCAAATGGAAGAACGTGTTCAAATAAATTCTAAAAGTGTAAATATTGTATTTCCACAGAATGAGCGGGGCAGGGAGAGGGGCTGTGGCTATGGCAGTGGCAGTGGCAGTGGCAGGGGATAACTTTACAATAAACTCAAAACCCCTTTCAAATATGCAGCAACATTTGTGCTGCTCTTGCCCCCAGGCAAGGACTCGACTCGACTCTACTCTACTCGGTGGTTTCCTCTCTGCCTGCCACACATTTGCATATGTCCGACATCAGGCCCAGCCTTTGACACTCGAAACGATTTGCCTAGGTCAGGGTCGTTCGTATACCCTTCACCACACTGCCACACTTCCACAGTGCCACACTGCCCGGCTGCCAGCCTGCCCCACCATTGAGTCGCTTCATTTTGACACGTGTTGGCAGTTATGGCGCCTTCGGTCCCGACTCCCTGTGCGTGTACTGGGCACATCATAAAAAAGAGCAACAGCAGCGGACCAGAGGAACATGGCACAGAGGGAAGAAAAACCCGAAAAACACAGCACAAGAGGCAGCCAGCGACAGGCGACAAAGTGTCCAGGGAAGGGGTAGATTTGGATTCGGTTGAGTCCGAGTGGAAGTGGAAGTTGAAGCTAACAAGATGTGGGGACTATGTTCCAGAATGCTCGCATTAATTGCTCGATAATTAGAATTCGAATTCGAATTCCATCATCCATCCCATTTGACAGGCAGCAGACACTCGATAAGAGCCCCATATACCTACATACTCGTATGTATTACTCCGGGGTAAAACTTGACCTTCGACTAATTGCATTTGGTATCACGCATATGCCATGAGTGCCGTGCCGCCGCCGCCGCCGGCCAGACACAATATTATTGTGTTTGGTGTGTGTCAGACAGGGCCCATGCTCGTAAAACATTTGGCTGATTCTGATTCTGTTTCTGTTTCTGATTCGTTTTGTTTTTTTTCTTGCTGCGGAGGAGGTCTTTGCTTTGCGATACTCGGACTCGCACTCGCACTCATACTCATACTGATAAAAAAAAAAGGTAAAGCGTGCCTTCGCGATAACAGGCTGTAAATGGCCAAACAATTGACTAGAGCAAACAAACAAAACAGAACAGAACATAATAGAACAGAGCAGCTTTACGGTCCTGCACCTGTCACCACTCATCGCAGCAATTTCATCGCGATTGTCAGTCAGTCATTCAGAATCAGAGTCAGAGGGGGGGCGGGATGTAACAAAATCGCAGTATTTACGCTTCGATTTTGAGCTGATTTTTCCGACATAATTGACACGAAAGCGACGACGACGACGAGTTATGTGAATAGTCAAAGCTGATTTGATGTTATTGCGTCTGAAGGGCAATCAGAATGGAACAGACCACACTGAAAAAACGGGACCTGAAAAAGCGGTTTGATTGATTGATTGACTGACTGATGGACGAGTCAGCTGAAAGATGATAGGTAATGATGGCCTGATGTTCGGACAGAGAGAGACACAAATTTGTGCACACTTACCATTTTCTTCCGCCTACGTAATCTTATCACTTCACTCTGTTTATCTCAGACCGACGAATGCTGTTTCTGGCAATTATTTTTATGGGTAATTTAATCCGATTACCCTCCAAATGGCTGTTCAGTAAGGAAAACACAATCCTTGACCTCCGCCTTTGGTGGCATAGTTCCAAAGATTTTGATTGGATGCGCTTCCCGGAAGCCTTTGCGGCGAGGCAGGTTCCGAGGTTCCGATTCCCGGAAGTGCAAATGCCCATCAAATGCCAGTGGTAAACACTTGAATTTATGTGTCCTTAAAGTCCGGCCAGATAATCGCTATAATTAGAGCTCTGGTGGAGTTATGCAATTCAATTATGCATAATTTCCATTTGATTATCCATTCGGGGAAGCGCAGCAGCAAACTGACTTTTTGACCACGCGCCGCTGGCTAAAAAAGCAATTAACACACATAATAATTAGAAATTCGAATAGGTAGAGAGGGGACCCTGCACTTCCCCTACGAGCACTCGTTTTATAGGGGTCTCTCCCGTTTTACAGTCGTAGTTTTGCTGATTATAAACTGATTGAACACGTTCGAGGGGGCGCGGGGGTGCTGTTCCCATTAATTGGATTGCCATTTATTTCGACTTATTGTTTTTATGGCCAGCGCCGGTGCTGTCGTAATTTACGACCTTACTCGTGTATTTGTCGCTGATTGTCAGCGATAGGACAGAGGACAGAGCGTTGCGCTCTTGGCCTGGAACCCAGAGTCGCAGAGACCCAGAGTCGCAGAGTCTCAGAGTCCCAGAAAAAGGTGCTAATAATTCACGATCTTTGCAGCTGGTGTCCCCCGACAGACGCCTGGAGATGGCCCATCCCACGTTCACGGAGCGCAGCCAGCTGAAGTACGCCCGCCGCCTGGTGGTCAAGCTGGGCAGCGCGGTCATCACTCGGGAGGATAACCACGGCCTGGCCCTGGGCCGACTGGCCTCCATTGTAGAGCAGGTGAGTGTGGAGCGGAGACTTCTGATCCCCGTATTACCTGCACCGTCTATGTTCCCCCTTGCAGGTGGCCGAGTGCCATTTGGAGGGCCGCGAGGTGATGATGGTCACGAGTGGAGCGGTGGCCTTTGGCAAGCAGAAGCTCGCCCAGGAGCTGCTCATGTCGCTGTCAATGCGCGAGACTCTCAACCCGAAGGACAGCAAGGAGGTGAGCACACTAATCAGCCGCGGAGACACTAATCCACTCAGTCTTCGCCCATCCCTACCACAAAAATAGTTCGATGGCGCCACCCTGGAACCGCGTGCAGCGGCTGCGGTGGGTCAATCGGGCTTGATGTCCCTCTACGATGCAATGTTTGCCCAGTACGGCGTCAAGATTGCACAGGTACGTGGCCACAGATCCGATCCCCGTGATTAGGGTACTGGGATTACCGCGAGCTGTTGTTTCTGGTTGTTTCTGGTTGCAGGTGCTGGTGACCAAGCCGGACTTCTACAACGAGGAGACGCGCAACAATCTGTTCTGCACACTCTCCGAATTAATTAGCCTGAATATTGTGCCCATCATAAATACGAACGACGCCGTGTCGCCGCCGATGTTCATACGTGACGATGAGCCTGCGGGAGGAGCGAGGCGGGTGAGTGGGGTGGGATGGGATGGGATGTCCTCTATCTGCCACCAGACACGTGACAAAGTCCATGTGTATCGTAGGGAATTCCCATTAAGGACAACGATAGCTTGTCGGCCATGCTGGCCGCCGAGGTGCAGGCGGATCTGCTAATCCTCATGTCGGACGTTGATGGCATTTACAACAAGCCCCCCTGGGAGGATGGCGCCAAGCTGATGCACACCTACAACAGCAACGACAGCAGCAGCATCGAGTTCGGCAAGAAGTCGAAGGTGAGTCCAGATCCGTCCTAACTAAATTATCTGGTCTCGAAATCCGCCCGCAACTCTCTCTCTCTCTCTCTTTGCGTCAGGTGGGAACTGGCGGCATGGACTCGAAGGTGAAGGCAGCCACTTGGGCACTGGATCGTGGCGTCAGCGTGGTCATCTGCAACGGCATGCAGGAGAAGGCAATCAAGACCATCATTGGCGGCAGGAAGGTGGGCACCTTCTTCACGGAGGCCACCGAGAACACCAATACTGTGTCCGTTGAGGTGATGGCCGAGAACGGTAAGTGAGTCCTCGACTCAATCCGGCTTATGGCCATGACAACGGGGGTTGAACAATGATGTGGCTAGACAATGGATAAGGACAAGGACAAGGGCTTTACGAGGAGAAGAGTACGAGTACTAGCAAAAGACGGAATCTCCGGCTGTAATTAGCGGTTTTGCCCGTCCACCCATCCGACCACATTGATTGCCAATCAACTAGAGTAAGGCTTTAAGCGGGTTCCAGTTAAGTCCATCGGTTGGCTGGAAACTTTCAAGCATCGCTTTAACAGCGAATGAGAAGTGGCTGGGGCCCGGGCTAATGGCCATTAGGGCTTACACCCTCAGACGGCCAAACAAGCCGAGACAGTCAGAGGAGAGAGCGGGTGCGAGAAAAGTGGGTCAGGAAGGTGCCTGGCTTAACCACGGAGGGGGGGGGATGTTGCTGCTATTTTTAGTTGGGTAAAATGTAATTTAATTGTTATTAGGGCTAGCTGCCGCAGTTGGCCAAAAGTGGCTGTTAATTAGACAGCTGCAACTTGTTACGGCTGTTGCTAATTTCGCCTCTAATCCCTTCTGCCACAGCTCGCACCGGAAGCCGTCAGATGCAGGCCCTGACGCCCGCCCAGAGAGCCAGCGCCGTCAACACGCTGGCCGATCTGCTGGTGAGCCGGGAGAAGTTCATCCTGGAGGCCAATGCCAAGGATCTGGCCGAGGCCCAGAAGAACGGCCTGGCCAAGCCGCTGCTCTCGCGACTCTCCCTCAACTCGGCCAAGCTGAAGAACCTGGCCATTGGCCTCAAGCAAATCGCCGAGGACAGCCACAAGGTAAGCCGAACTTAATTACTGCCCGTCCTTGCACCCACTTTGTGGGGCAGGGACAGGTCAAAGAGCAAAGAGCGAGAGCTGGGAGCATAGAGCATAGAGCAAAGGCGCACAGAGCTCTGCTGACCCCTCGAAAAGTTCGAGCAAATTGCATTTGTTGCGATGTCGAAAAATCAGCCAGAAATTGAGTTAGCAGCTCCTGCGAACTGGATTTGTCTCCCCTGGCAAAATGGCCATTTCATGGACTGCAACAAAGGGCGAGAGCCCGAGCCGGAGCCCGAGCACGAGCACTCCGCCAGGGAGTGCTCCCAGAGCCATATGCAGTTTTCAGTTTGTGCAGTTGGTGTAGTTGGAGCAGTTTTGCAGCGCTTTAGCAACATTATGAAATCTCTAAGCAATTTTACACTTCAACAAAAATTGACACCCCGGACGAGACGACTGAAGGAAGCTAAAGGAGGTTCGACGGGGGACGAGCTGCATGCTCTGGAGCCGGATACACCCTTGGCCGTGCCCTGGGAGTGTGCAGGGCCCTGGAAGCTAAGCAAGTGAAAGATAAAAGACAGTTTCCTTGTATGCCCCCCCCACCGTTGGGTGGCTTGCCAGTGACATTAGCCCGATGCCATTCCCAGACAGAGTTGATCGAATATCGCTGGGGAAAGGATGAATGGGGGGCGGGGGGCGTTCGACCCGGGCCAGGGCTTGGGCTGAGCCACCGCCCTCTCAGCCAACCGTTTTATTGGATGTGATTGTGCGGAAACGCAAAAAGTTTTCCTCTGTCTTTTTTTTTGCTCCAGCAAAACTTTTTCCATTGAGAATGGTAACGGGGCGGGGTGGCGGGAGGGCAGAATGGCAGGATGGGGCAGGACATGAGTTTATTGTAAAAATAGCAGGCGAAATTATGACACAAAATGGCGGCAGCGTGAAAAATCATAAAAAAGTGAACCCGCCCCAAACACACTCGTACTCGTAGTCGCATGCCCGCATGAGGAGCCTGCTGGCTGGGCATACAGAAAATCCATAACGCACTCAATAAATGTCGCTCGGATGCCGCGGAAAGTGTTTCTGTCCGCCCGCCCGTTCCCCCCACATTGACCGAAATGCGGCGGACATTGTTTGGCCTCTGGGCCGAGCCGAGCCCCTGAACCTCGTTCGAAATTTGAGTGTATGACGGAATCAGGCAGGGCAGGGCAGGGTCAAGGGTAGGCAAGGCCGACACTGCTTCAGATTTCAATTACCCAGACTACTTACAGTTCGTATAAAAAGTTTTATTGCAAAATAAGTACTGAACGAAAAAAGGTCCAACATAAATGTAGGGCAGAATGGTGCGGGCGGTGCTGACAGTATTGGTACGGAATTCGGCCTACCATCGGGATTCCCCCTGTCCCAAGGGTCTGAACGCTTTTCGAAATCATCAAACAACTTCTAATAACACAACGAAAAATTCTTCAATTTCCTCCTTTTGCCCATCATAAAGTTCTCTGTTTCTTACACATTTCTTGGGCTATAATAAACTTGTCCAAACCTCTACTTCCCCAAGAAGTAAGAACACTCAACTCCACTACAGCCTGTCCTGTCCAGTCCAGCCCAGCCCAGCCCAGCCCAGCCATGACTTATCCAATTGTCCTTTGCAAATATAATTTAAAGTTTTGCGTCCTACAATGCCAAAGTCAATAATAATGACCATATAACCAAATTTACTCAGCGCCCAAGTTGAGTTTAATGGTTAAACACGGTGAGCGGAGCAGCAATAGCAGGGTAGGATGGAGGTCTGTAAGGAGGTCTTGGTCGGAGGTCCATTCTATGCAAACAATGCCAGTCCACTGCTGTCGGGAGCAACCCATACCCGAACCCAGACACGGACTCGGACAGGGACCCAAACCCGGACCGGACCATACCAGAGCAGACCAGAGCAGACCAGGCCAGGCCAGACCAGCCCATTCCGCAATCTCTTTATGTTATCTGCAGCCAATTTTCTAGAGATTTCTCATGGCAGGAGAAGGGACCTGGAGTGAAAGGACCTCCCGAGGGCGGGGGCGTTGGACAGCAGGCCATTAAAAATAAATAAAGATTACGACGCGATGAGCGTCTTGATTTATGTAACGCCTCAAAATGGACGCCGGGGAATCCAAATGCGGCGAATCCACAGAATCTAGGGGGGTGGATGGGAGACTCGGACCCGGACCGCTGGGAGTGTCGCATAAGAATCGAGTTATTTTATGACCAGCGGTCTCACATGGCGTATACGTTATGCGATTTATGCTGAATTGCCGATTGGCCCTGCCTTTGCCTTTTCACTTCCCTTTCCTTTCTCTCATCCCGTATCGCTGTCATTCCAGAATGTGGGTCGCGTCCTGCGCCGCACCCGCCTGGCCGAAGGACTGGAACTGAAGCAGGTCACCGTTCCCATTGGCGTCCTCCTGGTAATCTTCGAATCGCGTCCTGACTCGCTTCCCCAAGTCGCCGCCCTGGCCATGGCCTCCGGCAACGGGCTGCTGCTCAAGGGCGGCAAGGAGGCGGCCCACAGCAACAGGGCGCTCATGGACCTGGTCACGGAGGCACTGGTCACAGTCGGAGCCGAGCATGCCGTCTCCTTGGTCTCCACGCGCGAGGAGATTAGCGATCTGCTGTCAATGGAGAAGCACATTGATCTGATTATTCCACGCGGCTCCTCTGAGCTAGTGCGCAGCATCCAGCAGCAGTCGGTGCACATCCCCGTCCTGGGCCATGCGGAGGGTGTCTGCCACGTGTACATCGACCGGGATGCGGACCTGCAGAAGGCCCTGCACATCGCCCGCGACGCCAAGTGTGACTATCCAGCCGGTAAGCCCATCCAGCTGTTCAACTGGTGCACATTTTAACCTATTTTATCTGCAATCAGCCTGCAATGCAATGGAAACCCTGCTCATACACGAGGATCTGATGAGTGGCGACATCTTCGGTGATGTCTGCAACATGCTGAAGCGCGAGGGTGTCAAAATCAATGCCGGCCCCCGTCTAAACCAGCAGCTGACCTTCGGCCCGCCCGCGGCCAAGAGCCTGCGGCACGAGTACGGCGCCCTCGAGTGCTGCATCGAGATTGTGCCCAGCCTGGAGGAGGCCATTAATCACATCCATACATTCGGCAGCGGCCACACCGATGTCATTGTAACGGAAAACGGTAACGAAACGCTCGACAAATTGAAAATTAATTTCTATTGCTTGCAATCGAAGCAGAAAAATCGTTTTGTCCCCCGCTCCCTTTTTGCCATTTTTATTCCAATTTGATTTGTGTTTCGGGGTAATGAGAATTTTCAAATGCTGGTTGGCGGCTGGGGGATCGAGCTTCCATAATGGTTATTGCTGCAGATGAGTGGGTTTTGGAGGAGAATGGGAAAGCTGAATAGGGGAACCTTTAAATATGAGATTTATATGCGACAAGGCAGGTGGCCCCTAACCGTCGCCTGTAATTCAATGGGCCAGCCATTCACAATGGGACATGGCATGAGGTGTGAGTACAATATTCAACTTTAATTCAATTAGGAGCTGAGGGAATCCCACCCTCACAATAAGAAAGTTCCCATTTTGATCAAAATTTCTGCAGGAGTAGAGGGTTTCCGTGGTGAGAAGGGGAGGGGGGCCCTTCAGCAAGAGCGAATTCTGTAATTACATTTGCAGTTCGTCAGTCAAGCCCTTAGCCAAAAAAACAACCACTTGCAAATGAAACCCAAACCCAAGTCCTAATTCAAGTTACGTAATCTTTTGCATGCGAACTTTTGCATGCACGCCATGCAACATCATCACCATCCCCATCACCCCCACCATGCACCATACCTCGCTTTTGCTTTGCTTGCCACAACAAATTTAAATCATTTGGGAAATTAATTTTATTCAACACTTTCCCTCTCGTGTTTGAATTTCCACATTTCTACACATTTCTACACATTTCCACAATTTCTATTGCAATTTCTACTATTTGCATTTTCCACTGTAGATGCCGCGGCCAAGCAATTCCTCGGAAGCGTGGACAGCGCCTGTGTGTTCCACAATGCCAGCTCCCGGTTCGCGGACGGCTTCCGCTTCGGCCTTGGCGCCGAGGTGGGCATCTCCACGGCCCGCATCCATGCCCGCGGCCCCGTGGGCGTTGAGGGGCTGCTGACCACCAAGTGGATACTGAATGGCCAGGATCATGCAGCGGCGGACTTTGCAGAGGGCGGCGAGCGCACGTGGCTGCACGAGAGCATGCCCCTGGACAACTAGGACTCACCAATCTAATCTAAATTGTATATAGTTTTAAGTGCTCGGATTCGTGTTCAAAAGAAGAATGTTACGTACGAATCCTCATGATTTCGGGAGTGCATTTTGAGTGAAGGGTAATTACTTGACGGCGCCTTGGTGTTGCAGTTGCAGTTGCAGGTGCGGGTGCGGGTGCGGGTGCTTGTGCGGGTGTTCACGGAGTTGAGACATGTCCCCGTTTTCCGCTTTCCGCTTTCCCTGATGACAGCTGCCGTCGTGGCCACATGGGAGAAATTAATTTGAGTGAAAAATATTTGCCCAGACAACTTGTGTAATTAATAAAGTAAAGGATGTGGCCGGCTTGCCCTGTGGGGCGGGCTGGTGCCGGGGGTAGTTAAAACTGTCAGCCCTTGTCTTGGGCTCCGAAAGTTTTCCCAGCGAAAGTTCATCCGTACTCCGCCCTTCACACCGCACCTTAGATGGCACCTCCTTCGAGGAGGAGAGGGAATGGGAATGGGAACGGAAAGGAAAATGAAAATAAAATAAACCGAAAAGTAGTCGTACCCAAGAATTCCGCTTAAAGTTTCAATCTTCTGCAAGCATCACTGGTGGTAGAGCCATAGCCATCCAAATATACGTGTATTCGTATGGCAAATCATAAATTAGCCAAAAGAAACGTGAACTGCAGCTCCTCCTCTCCACTTGGTATGCAACCGCGTGGCAGGTATTTTAATTTTTATGTGCACTGGGGCAAGTTTCCCGTGTCCCGTGTCCCGTTTCCCGTTTCTCGTTTCCCCCAGGTGCAGCTCAGCTTTCGCTCTTTGCCTCAAGTTTCTGCTGCTGCATTACGCTCGTTGAAAGGTTAGAGGTGGAGCCCTAGCTGCGGAGCGTCCTGTCAACGCGCCAAACTTTTTTTTTCTTCTTTTCTGGCATTACCCACTTGCATCCTAACTTCTATCCCAAATTGAAGACGGGGTCAGCTACTGCCTTCAGCCGTCTGCCGTCCGCCAGGGAGGATTCAGAATAGGTAGCGCCAGATACGATGCTCTCCTTTGAAGTGCTCGAGCGACCCGCTTTATTTATCTACTGCCCGCTCCCCGGGGCAACTGCAACTCGTTCTTACCGACATATAGCGTGTACAGGGCAGGGCAGGGCAGGGCAGGGCAGGGCAGAGTAGGGCGAGCATAATTTTTACCTCTTTCAACTCCTCGACGCGCGTACAGACAATGATACGTGAAAGTTTCCCGTACCTGATCCGTGCGGAAAGCACGTAGTTTTCCGTAGTTGCGAAGCACTTGAGCAACTTAACTGGTGAGAAGTTTACCCATTTATGGGCAGCGACTAGCGACTGCAAACGAGAATCGGAATGGGTCCTCGCCGTCTCTCTCCCATCAGCAGCAGCACTGCAGTCCTCGATTGGGGCCCACTTAATTAGAATAGCAGGCATTAATCTTGTGGCTAATACCACGTTAAGATCGAGCGATATCAGAAGACAGGCGAGAAATTGCCATGGGCCAAATGCAGACATCGCTCTGGGTTCCGTTCCGTTCAGTTCCTCAGCTCTGCTCTGCTCTGCTCTGATCTGCACTGCTCTGCTCTGCTCTTGCCCCTGCTCTGGGCACATATTTTTGCGAAGCAAATTTCATTTTGTTTTATATAGATTCAATGAAATCCACACGACGCCGCGCCGTCAACATTTTCTATCATGTGTAAATGCTTTGGCTGCATTTTTGGGCGACAACTTTGGGGCCACAACCATCTAGGGACTGAGTGGGACCGAGACCGCGCCCGAGCCCGAGAGCATCGAGATGTATTCTCTTCTTCATTGGCACAATTTTCCCATGCAGTGCCGTCAAAACTGAATCTGAGGGAAAATGCCTGCATTGTTCTTGTAGCTGTTGCCTTTTTTTCGTGTTTTTGTTGTTCTTTTTTCTTGTGTAGTTTCGCGTGGGTTTATTTATATAAAAACTTAAAAATATAACAACAACAGATGACTATACAAGTCCTGGCGCATATTTCCCTCTTCTGTGTGCTGCGCTGCCCGTGCCCGCCGTTCTATGTGGAAGTCCGAGGCGGTGCTGGTGCTGGTGCTGGCAAACGCAGCCGACATAATTTAGCGAAAATGAAAAGAAACTAAATGATGAATGATTTTGACGAGTGGAGACAAATGGATACTCTAAAAGAAAGTGCGATGTGAGCACTGATCCATTGGCTAATGCATTTGAGAGGCGATACAAGCCACTATCTCTGGAAAAAGCTCATCCCTTAAGCATTTTTCAAGCTGAAGTACTGCCATCTCTAGCCCAAGCATGCTATCTCGCTTTGCCCTTCTCTGGGAGAGCGCAGCTTCGCTGAGGGTCTGGCCAGCACAATTATAAGCGATCAACAAGAATGAAAGGAGAAATTCCTCTGTGTGTTGTCCTGGCACAATAGGATAAACACAACGATATGTTATAGTCCCGTCAATTGCCCATCAAACGGTGCCAGAAAATCGGAATACCCCGGATGACCAACACTCGCGTAAAATCGAAATGATGTGTATCCGTGCCGCCCCCCACATCCCCGCGCTTTGAATGCCTGATCCCCTACAAGCGTAGCATATCGCGAAATTCATCAACATGTTACTAGATGAACAATTGTTCAAGATGACAGGGACAGGGACAGGGACTGGGACTGCGACTGGGACTGGGGACAGAACTTATTTAAATACCGATGTCTGGTCGCAGAACGAATCACTCTGATTGCTGTCGCTGTTGGATTTACACGTCGTGAGTGCCGCCCTGTCGTGGGATATAGGATAAGCCCCACACAACCTGCATATATTCAGGATATTATAGCTCTGTCAGTGCTTCCTGCTTCCTCCTTTTAGTGCTACCCGAACCGTACCGTACCGTACCGAACTAAATCAAAATGTGTGACGAAGAAGCATCAGCCCTGGTGGTCGACAATGGCTCCGGTATGTGCAAGGCCGGATTCGCTGGAGACGATGCCCCCCGTGCCGTCTTCCCCTCGATCGTGGGCCGCCCCAGGCATCAGGGTGTGATGGTGGGCATGGGCCAGAAGGACTGCTACGTCGGCGACGAGGCCCAGTCCAAGAGAGGTATCCTCTCCCTGAAGTACCCCATCGAGCACGGCATCATCACCAACTGGGACGACATGGAGAAGGTCTGGCATCACACCTTCTACAACGAGCTGCGTGTGGCCCCAGAAGAGCACCCCGTCCTGCTGACTGAGGCCCCCCTCAACCCCAAGGCAAACCGCGAGAAGATGACCCAGATTATGTTTGAGACATTCAACTCCCCAGCCATGTACGTCGCCATCCAGGCAGTGCTCTCCCTGTACGCCTCCGGCCGTACCACCGGTATCGTTTTGGATTCCGGTGATGGTGTCTCGCACACCGTCCCCATCTATGAAGGCTATGCCCTGCCCCATGCCATCCTCCGTCTCGATCTGGCTGGTCGCGACTTGACCGACTACCTGATGAAGATCCTCACCGAGCGCGGCTACTCGTTCACCACCACCGCTGAGCGTGAGATCGTTCGCGACATCAAGGAGAAGCTGTGCTACGTCGCCCTGGACTTCGAGCAGGAGATGGCCACGGCGGCTGCCTCCACTTCGCTGGAGAAGTCCTACGAGCTGCCCGATGGCCAGGTCATCACCATCGGCAACGAGCGCTTCCGCACCCCAGAGGCCCTCTTCCAGCCCTCGTTCCTGGGAATGGAGTCGTGCGGCATCCACGAGACCGTCTACCAGTCCATCATGAAGTGCGACGTGGACATCCGCAAGGATCTGTATGCCAACAACGTGCTGTCCGGTGGTACCACCATGTATCCAGGTTGGGACTCACTTTGCCTTCGAGCCCTGTCAATTTTGGATATTGCTTAATCGCCTTTCGTTCCTATTCAGGTATCGCTGATCGTATGCAAAAGGAGATCACCGCTCTGGCTCCCTCAACCATCAAGATCAAGATCATTGCCCCACCAGAGCGCAAGTACTCCGTATGGATCGGTGGCTCCATCCTGGCCTCGCTGTCCACCTTCCAGCAGATGTGGATCTCGAAGCAGGAGTACGACGAGTCCGGCCCCGGAATCGTTCACCGCAAGTGCTTCTAAGCACTCCCACCTCCGCCGCCGCCGCCGCTGCCCAGACAACGGGGCAGCCCCAAAACCCATCCAATATCTCTTCGGGTTTTTGTGTCTGGTATTTGTCTCTTGCATAAGACATTTATGTGCCTAGGCACTGGGGTCGGGGCTAGCCAGAAGGCAATTCGATGAAAAAGTATCTTTAAAATTACATTTAGTTGATGAAGAAGTTTTAAACATAGAGAGAAATGAGAACAGAGAAATACCACAAAGAAAACAAGCAAACACGAGCAGGCCGTTGCCTATATTTTTTTTTTTTTTTTTTGATTCGCCTCGGAATTTTTTTATTTGCTTTTAAGTTCGGGAGCTGTAGAAAGAATCAAGAAAAGTGCCATCCGAATCGGTTGTATATCGACAATAAAAACCAATAACCTACATGAATCGAATCGAAGGAATCATTGGGAGGGGTGGGGGGGCTAAACTTTTCTAATTAGGCCTCGGACTGGACCAAGTGTCAATCAGTCCAAGGAAAACTTTTGCTGCTGGACAGCTGGGATGTCAATATGCGAGTCCAGCATCCACTTTTCCAGCTTTGCTCGCCTGTCACATTTTCTCTGTCTATATGACTTCTGTTCCTCCACTTGCTGGGGTCCAGGCACAGCTCAAGAGATGAACTCAGGGGGAAGAGTTTAGAGATTCAACTGCTGCAAGAACTTTCCACCAGCTGTCCTTCCCCCCGCCCCATATAAAATGCTTACACTCGTATGCACACAGACACCTGACAGCTTTTGGGCGGAAAGTTTTGCAGATTGTCGGCAATCTATGCATAAACTAGGTGCCAAAAGCTGAGGCCTAATTAGTCAAGAGCCAGTGGCTGGCTGGCGACAAGCGTTTGACTCTCAGTTTATGGGGTAATTCTTACAAAGTCTCCATAAACACTGGCAGTCGCCTAATAGCTTAAACTGCTAGGCAGCTCAGGCATTCCTGGGATGGCAGGGACTATTGGGATATCCTTTCAAAATCGAAAACCTATACATATACC